CACACCATATGCTAATCAGTGTACGTCCTCAATTTTACTATGTATTCTTTCCTTCTTTAAGGTGATTCATTCAACACTGTCACTGCTATGCGGTACCAACCAAAGTCATAGAGCTTGAATCAATTCTTAAGGTTTACGATAATCTCAGTACAGAGTACTAAAAAAACCGACCTCAAAAGTACGTGGAATCACATCTATTTGCCAAGTTTTATTGAAATATCCCCTAGTTCGCCAGTATACAGGACTTGACACAGGAGATAATAAAAATCGGTTCTCACTACTCAAAGTATATTGAGAAAGAAAAACGCCTTGAATTGGAGAATAGCAAAACCAATTATTAAAATAATTGCTTCTTAAGCAAAATTAGGCGCTATTTATAAAAATGAATGTTCATGCGTGATCAGCTACACTTAGAGGTGGATGATTTTTTCAAAATGAAATGGGATCACTATGGAGGTACCCTCTTTCCAACAAAAAATAATCATGAAAATCGGTTCACAAATACCGGAGTTATCGCGTAACATACAAAAAAATGCAGTCGAATTGAGAACCTCTTTCTTTTTAGAAGTCGGTTAAAAAATGTAAAGTACCTCACGTTATCGATAACGTTTAGGTATACAAAACGTGAAGCAATTACGTGTGTGATTTTGACCTATAAATTACACCAAGTTACTTATGTTGTTAAAACAAATACCGATTAATTTATAATCTTAAATGTCGAAGTGACAGCCTAAAAATATTTTGTTAATAAAAAAGTGCGCAAAACCGGATTCATCCCCTAGTATGCAGGCATTCCCGCGCGCAATCCTGTACGCTCCTGATCACGCGTGACAAAGTCACCGTCTAAAGGGGACTGACGTAGGCGTCAATATGCGGGGCCGGTGTGGTATATAAAGCTAAGGTAGGGCGGAATGTTCCCTTTCTAGTCTATAAGTACTACTTACATTGTGTCTCCATTCCACTTTGTAAACGTAAGGATGCGCGTTGATGATGCAATCGAAGTAGACATCAGAACCTTCTCGAATATTCTTCGGATCAAGATTTGTTCCTAACCGTACCACCGTTTCTGGTACGTCTGTGAACAAAAAACATTTCTTTTTTCTGTATGAAAGTCTATAGAATACGGAAGTAAGTGAAAGATGTTATTAAGATAATAGAAAATTATTTGTCACTATTTTAACTAACTTAGCAATCAAGTTACTTAATAAGCTTGCTACTAGCACAAGACCTTTATGTTGTAGTCTGAATAAATAATCATATTGTTAATATTTGGGGTATGTATTTTAGATTCTAGTCAGTTTCTTGGAAGATCATTTTGAAATTCAATATCCACCGATAATGATATAGTCGGCCGAGGTCAGAGGCTGAAGTTCAAAAACCGGTGAACATTACGTGCTGGAATATACTATACTATAAATTACACTTATACTTATGTATGGTCAATTAAGCACCAAAGAGCAAACACTGGATCTAACGAGCAAATATCAGAACGAGAGGTTTACCAATGAAGAAGTACTAGTAATAGCAAAGGAAACTAAAAACAATGAAATTTTTTCTGAATGTTCGATCTTTGTATTAATAAAGCCACGTTAGCTTAATCAACAAAGATATGTGTGACTTAGGTCAGGACTAAATGACGTTATTTACACCTAAGAGCCTTAAATCTAAGATACAGAATCCTCAAAATAGTCCACAATATCTAGAAATGATATTATGCCGACAGCCTAGAAAAAGAGTATGGTCATAACACCAGTTATTATAGTGTGAGGAAAGAGTACCAATGCTTCCGGTGATAAACACTTAAACTTCGAAAAACATAAAACACTCACTTTATCTTATATATCTACTTCTTAAGCCGGGTACTGATTAGCGAGCTGTAATTGTAACGTGATTGACACAAGAGAGGTTCTAGTGTGTACGCGTGAAACAGTCTACACTCGCTAGAATAGACCCCTTTACAGACTCTATCGCGCGTGACCAGAAGCGTACAGGGTTGCGCTCAGGATTGCCAATATGACGTTTTATAAGTAAACTTTCTTTCGCGCGGGATTGCTCGTGTTCGTTTTCATTACAATAGAAGAGTGTCCGTGTAAAAGGTAATCTTGGAACGCGCGATTGCCCGCGCTACTGATGAGCGCACGGTCTTTTCCTTTTCCTTCCAACATCTTTACACGCACGCTCATATCTGTACCACGCGCGAAAGTGGCGTCTCTGTACAGTCCGCTGTTCTGCGAACTGCGAACCACACTATGATTTTTGATAACATAACGTACAACGGTTACAGCTCGCTAGTGTGTACCCGGTTTTAGAAATCATCCAGATTTGTTTTAGTTAGGCAGATACATAGTAACCGAAAATATTATATGTTTCACGAAATAAAAATAAATTATTAGTACATCCCGACTTAAACTGCATTTATCATTACATTAGCCATCACAGTAAAAATACTTATATAATAAACTATCAGGACAATTAAGAGACTCTGTTAAAATTATTAATACAAAGATCGAACACACAGAACGTTTCTTCGACCCGGTGGGACTTGAACCCACGACCATGACGCACTCTAGCATTGCTCTTACCAACTGAGCCACAAAACCGAGTTGGGGACATTCTCCTGTGTTTTTATTATAGATAGGCTTTCGGTATTCGTCGCCGGAAGTGACATCTAGTGAGAAATTTTTTTTAAACTTTTTAAAAAAAATATTACAGACCCAGTTAAAGATGTAGATTTTAAATAAGAAACTCAAAGAGCTACTAATTAAGGAAGCATAGTACAGATTTACCGAATATTTAAACGATGGATTTTAAAAATTATAGCTGCTTACAACTATAAACTACATTAAGAATACTATTTATAAGTACTTACACATAACTATCACAAATATAATTATAATCTTATGCATATCCGGATGTTGATAAGTAATAATGTTCACCAAAACCTTATACTATAAAAACTTACATTGGATATCAAGGATCCAATCGTCTTCTAAAGGTGGAGTTAATGGCATTTGAGGGTTGGACGCCCGGCAAGCCAGTTTTGCTCCTGTGTCTCTCTTTGACAACTGGATGGAGAGAGTTGAAGTCGTTGTGTTTCCATCTGTTGATAACTGTTGACAAAACATATATGAAAACATTATGATAAAGTTTGATTTCTCGGATTGGACACAAACACATTTAATTATTATCGAACTTTCTCTACTGTCTTAGCCAAGTTAATGCTTTACCACGATGAGACAGACGCACGTCTAATAAAGGCGGCTTCCCTTAGCCTGTGATACCACAGGCCACGCTGCACCGCGAAGATATATATGGGCGAGCTCGTGTCACAGGCACATTGATATGTTAGCCTCTCTAAAAGGCTTCAACTACCAATATCTTACGAGTGGGCAGCAACAACTTTATCCTTATGACGTCTTCCGGTACCTTCGGCTGCGTAGGAATTTGGGAACTGAAGAGATGCCGTTTATTCGGCATCGAGAAGTGAGCGTGGCTTACACCTCCGCTACCAATGAGGAGATTTGGTAGTCGACTTAGAGTCGGCGATTCAGTGGTGGCAACCGTTAGTCGTGCAGAGCGCGACGGGAAGTGAGCGCGAGCCTACAGCTCCGGTACCTATCTGGAAAATAGCGGACACCCGTGGCGGTTCACCTAAGGCACTAGCCTTACGGATGGAGCTGCAAATGGGCTGATCTGGGGTTAGGACCTGACTCAGATCAGTCAGATCAGGAACTCAGTCATAGGCTCTTCCCGCATAACCCAGAGGTTGACACGGAGAGGTACTATAAACAAAAGGTATGTAGAAAGATATGGGACTGTCCTTATGACGGGGCAAACTGTCAAAATATACGTCAAGGTCGCTCCCAGGATATCGTAGTTGGAAAGCATCCTGGACACTATTAAATTTTTCCTGGAAAACGGCACGAGAAAAGGCTTGCTAAGTTGCTTCTTTGAGTTGGGACTTTGGGACGTGGAACAGTAGGAGCGATTCTCGATAATACTTCCGGATAATCCAGGGAAACAATTACTGTCAAATAAGTAATACTTGACCAATGAAGCTTTATATCGCAATGCTATTGTGACGTTACAATAGTGTTGTAACTCAAAATATGCGAAATTTAATATTATATCATTACTGAACGTAAAATTTGATTTTCTACTCGTCAAAAAAACTGTCGTTAGAATATTGTAAGAAACAATCAAAAGTTACCTACTTAACTCTAAATGAGATACACTTTATGTGAGCTATTTCTAAAATAATCCTTATTCAAAAACATGAAATTATTTTTTCCATTTCATTTTTAAATATATTTGAGACATTGTTTAAGTGTCCCTAATAAACTATAACATATAAATTTCAATGATTTTTTTGCGGGAAGTGAGTAATTCGTTTTTCATCGATTCTGAGAAAGTCCTCTTTTTGAGTTAATACACTATTGTATTAACAGTGCGATATCTGACATTGTCTTTTGATCGAGTATTACTTATTTGACAATATTTCGGAGGAAGGAAGACCTCCTCGCAGCAACTTGTAGAGGACAGTCGTTTCTGGTATTCATTTTTGTAACTAAAGCCAGGGTTACAAGCCAGATACTTTTTGTACGCGTTCGATATAATCAATGTACCTACTCCTGTAAGGCTAGCACGAAAGGGCACGACTAGCGCGATAGCGACATAACGCGCGAGATACTGCTGTTCTCGCATAGAGATCTCGCGCTTTATGTCGCTCTCGCGCAAGTCGCGTCTTCATGCTAGCCCTACTGATAAGTGGGGTTCCATACGACGCTTGCAATCTCAATGTCAAATGGACAAAGGAAGTTGTATAAAGATATTAGCGTTTTCATATTTTTGAAGTTTTGGTGAAATGTACGATCTTGTATAAGATAATATAACACCTTTCTTAACAACATTTTTCTGTAAATAATTTTTTCAAAATTTATATTTGTGTAACAAGTTCGAATTTTTTTTATTGTGTTCTCTGAATCCGTTGTGCTCTAGTTTTTTTTTTATGTAAAAAATTAATTGTAAGCCTGTGAAATTGTTTTTAATAATATTTCATTTCAATTTTTTCACTATACATATTTCTACAAATTAATTAACTAAAATAAATTGAACAATAAAATATGTTATACAAATACAAAAGTTAAAAAAAAAAGTTTTATAATTGCATTCATTATATTATATATTATATGCAACATTATAATCAACATCGGTTCCAAATTTTTAGTATAATTAAATTTTGAATTTGCAGATTTTATTCTTGTATTAAGAATTTTAAGAATAGTTAACGATCAAACGATCACCAGATACAAAAAAAAAACTGTTGTAAATTCTTTTACAACAGTTTTTTTTTTCTTTTTAAGAGGAAAGGTCGGTGAGCGCGCTTTTCACACCTTCGTAGAATATAAGTGAAACATTGAAATTGCAGTCAGAATAAAGCCAACCACAACTATCGACTTAATAATTCCGACGTCACCATGTCTTGTACATAATGTCTTGTATTCTTGTATAACTTATATATATAGTACTTTTGAATAATACACCCTTTGTCCCTCTAACATACAGAGAGTAACGAACAAATACACTATCGACCAATAAGAATCCACCAATAACATAGCGTCTGGATTTGATTGGGTATTAGTTTCCGAGTACTTTATTATATTGTTTTTCTTTTTTGGTTATTTTCCTTTACTTTTATGAACAAGGGTCAGTCAGTCTATAAATAACGGCTTTAAGATAAACGAATGACTGGCGAGATGAAAACTGGTGATAGTTTAAGACAGACCAATAAATTTGGACAATAAATAAAAAACGTTCTTGGTATATATTTGGCAATACATTTAAAAGGTACTTATGAAGTTGTTAGAGATTCGCGATTATTTTAATTTTTTTTTTATGATTCCAAGTGACGGCACGAACACGCCTATCCATAACAGTTGCAGTGCTTTATCTTAGGGGCAATGCCACTGCGCCCGTCACCCTGAGATATATGTTTGACTAGTGCCATGTCACTGTCAATTGTTGTACAAGTATAAAGTCAAAGAATCTTTTTTTTATAATACTAATTAACTGGACGCTGGTGGTAAGGGACATGCCTGTTCCCAATAACTGCAGTGCCACTCAGTTATCACAATCATCATAATCACAAATATTTGAGGGGTACTGCCACTGCGCCCATCAACCTGACACATAAGTTGAAAAGTCCCATGTGCCTTTAATTTCACCAGCATCCTTACTCTTCCAAACCGAAACGCAGTAATGCTCACGTTATTCCTTGGCGGCATAAATAGGTAAGGTTGTTGTACTTCTCTGGACGGACTCTTTCATAAGGATCTCTACTGCTATTTTATATGCTCGTAAAAATATACATAATTTCAATAAGAAAGAAGATATCCATAATATTAACCTCTAAGGCTAAGTCCAAACTCATGGTACCACGATTTCGTTTAACCAAGGTAAACAACTCTTTTATGGGGAACTGTATACGTTTTTACAATAAAATTTCGGAGCATATATTAAGTTTATCATTTCCTAAGTTTAAAAACTACATTAAAAATATTTTGATCGAAAAATCATATTACAAAATTGAAGACTACGTGTTAGATAAAGATGTATGAAAAGACGGCATGGCTCCAGAATCCACACAAATTTGATTCAAAGTGTATTCCATAGCATTTAAGTTTATTTGAAAAGAGCAATCCCTAGAGTTTCTTGCTCGTTCTTCTCAGGGAGGTCAGCGTAGTGAACGAGCAGTAGCTCCAATGTGACGATTTCAAGTGTAAATTAATTTTACCTATGGAATAAATAATCTTTGACTTTGACTTTGACTTTGCTACTAAATTAGATAGATTGCTACGCATTAGAGATGAAACTATTGTCTCCGTATCTATTTTTCAAATAAAAAACGTGTCTGGGCTCTTTACAGGTCCTACGGCCCCTGGTTTGTTTGAAAAAACAAATATACACATGTTAAGTCTATAAAAATAGTCTTATTTCCAATAAAGAGGTACTTTTAAGTACGAACACATATAGAAGGTATATAGATAGATACAGCGCCGTAGACCACCTAGGTACATGTTGAGTTAGCGTCCTTTCACTGCTAAGATAAAAAATGTTTTATTTTTCCTCTTGTATGTATTTGTGTCATACTAGTGAATAACGTGTTTATCCATCCTATCTAGGAGTACTGTAAGAGCAGTCCCATATCTTTTTACATAAGTTTTGTTTATAGTGCCTCTGCCTATCAACCTCTGGCTTATGCGGGAAGGGCTTTATGACCTGTGCGAGCGAGATTGCACAGGGACCATCTAAGGTCTTTACCCCGGATCAGTACGCTTGCACGTACTTCATGCGGTTCTCTGCAAGGCTAGTGCTTTAGGTGAGCCGCCTCGGATGCACGTACAGAACGCTTTTCCAGATAGGTACCGGAGCTGTAGGCACGCTCACTTCCCATCGCGCTCCGCACTAACTAACGGTTGCCACCGTTCTACTGTCGTACTGTGGTACTGTGGTACCGTGGTACTGTAAGAATAGTACTTTTGAAATTTTAATCTAAACTTATCCGCAGCTTACTGTCTCCTGCCTAATTGTAGAAATCTGAATGGCACTGCCACTGCGCCTGTCAAGCTGAGGCATAAGTTGACAAGAACCATGGGCCTGTAATTTCACAAGCATTCTTATCCTTCAAAACACCACGCAGTAATGATCACATTACTGCTTGGCGGCAGAAATAGGTAAGGTGGCAGGATTTCCCTGGACAAATTCTTTCACAAGACGCTCTAGTGCTTTTAAAATCATCAGTTCATAAATTTGGGAACTACGATACACACACAAACCAAAGGCTTCAAGCTTCAAAAACGTTCACGACAATTGAGACACAATATTGACGTTATTTCACGAGCACCCGTAACCATTGAAAACAAAAATAGCTATGTGAATTATGATAATAATAATAAAAAATAATCCATGTTTTGTTATTATCATAATGTCGAAATACTGAGCTGTCCCACCTGTGTGCGACCATACTGGTGTTAGAGTTGCCACATAGACCTGGAAGCCATCCACCCGCGCAGCGCAGAACATGCTGAACGTATTGTTGTATTGTATGTGC